ACATATATTTTTTTTTTGGTTGGATGTGGGGCTTGAACTCTGGGCTTGGGCACTGTCCCTCAGCTCTTCAGCTCAAGGCTAGTGCTCTACCACTTGAGCCACAGTGCCACTTCCGGCTTTTTCTGTTTATGTGGTGCTGAGGAATCAAACCCAGGGCCTCATGCATGTGAGGCAAGCCCTCTACCACTGAGCCACCTTCCCAGCGACTATAAAGATTTGACTCCTGCACCATAATATCTGTATCTGTGGTACTGCTGGATCAAGGCACTCTGGTCACAGCACTGACCCTTCTCTTGGGCCAGCAGATGCCTGAAGGGTAACTAAATGTTGATATAATCTTGGCAACTCAGCCTTCAGCCTTCATTTGCATCTGCCCCCTTTGCTGCCTTCAACTTTGGGTCAGATCCCTGCCCAGCTGTGCACGTAGACACATTCATCACTGAAGGAGTGTTTGTCTAGTTTTTCCTTCAAGGCTGAAGCCACTAAGATAAGAACAGTTTAGGGATTTTGAAAATCTTGAAAAAATTTCCAAAGACATCAACAGAGTATCGACACCAGCTTTTCCATGTCCTGCAGCAGACCACCAGAAGAGCATCTAGAAATCGGCACTCATTTTCTTAAACCTAAAGGAAGGTTCAGTCTCTGAATTAGCTTCACCTTGCCTTTCTTACTTGTGCCTCCTCCTGAGTCATGCACTCCCTGAGTTGCTTGGATTCCAGGATCACAGGTCTGACAGATAAACATCCTGTGAAGTCAATCAAAGCTGCTGCCCACACCAGCTGTTTCCTTGACACAGATAAAACTCTGCGTAACCAGCCTCGGGATAATGATCAACCAGAACACCACCTGATTGAGATGGCTAGCTATGCAAACCCTTTTGACTCTTGCTCCTGTCCTCTCCCCATACAACCCCCAAACCACTTCAGAAAGTTCCAAGACAGCCTTGCTTCTGTTTTCCCTGGGAGGCCAAGCAGAAGACATCCATTCCTTCTCCTGTACTCAGCAACACTTATCTCCAGTTTTGTTGGGGCAAGTTGCTGAGCCTGGTTCTTCAGGACCTCCAAAACTAGACCCTCTTGGCTTATAAGGTTAGCTGGGTGTGGTATAGTACTTAGTTGAGTATATACCTATAAATCCTAGCACTCAGGAGGCTGAGGCAAAGACAAAATTTGAGGCCAACCTGAGCTACATATTGAAATTCCCATCTGAAAAAAGAAATTGTTTAAAAAAAGCCACTCAAGGGCTGGGAAGGTGGCTCAGTGGTAGAGCGCTTGCCTTGCATGCATGAGGCCCTGGGTTCAATTCCTCAGCACCACATAAGCAGAAAAGGCTGGATGTGGCGCTGTGGCTCAAGTGGTAGGGCACTAGCCTTGAGCTGAAAAACTGAGGGGCAGTGCCCAGGCCCAGAGTTCAAAAAAAAAATAGTAGAGCATATAGATTGTAGGATTTTGTTAAAAACTGATTGCCTCGTAATTCCACAGACACTAAGAAATGAGCAAAACAAACTACTGAAGCAAATAGAATTGGGAACAGTTAGCAATATCAGTCTCAGCCACATATCAGTCTCAGATGTCTAATCCACAACTGGCAATAAGCAACAATCAGACTTGAAGAGTATAATTATCTCCTTCTGATAGCCAGAGTTAGCAATTTAGACCCCTTTCCTTCTCCATTTGCAGTCTTCATCCCTCTGTGCCACATGCACAGGTGTAAGACACTCACAGAAAGTCTTTCCATATTCTCAGACACATCTGACCTTCTCTTTGACTTGTCCAGTGGCCAGCTTAGCGGACATAAAAGCAATCATCTAGTGACAGGTCAGCCATGGCAACTGCGTGGCTGGTACTGCCCCATGCACATTGCTTTTGTGAAAACAAACACAAGCAGTGGCTGGAAGGCCCCTGCTACAGGACATCAGAATTTCCTCTTTTGTGGCTACAGCTTTTAGGCATGTGCTCCATGCCCCTAAGTGTGAAGACTACAAATATGGCCTCAAAGTAGTCTAGTATTATTAATTCTTTTCTCAGTATTAGGACTTGAGCTCAGGGGTTCCTGCTTGCTAGGTAAGTACTCTACCACTTGAACCATATTCCTTTTATGCTTTTAGTATTTTTCAGATAGGTCTTGCTGTGCGTGTGTTGTGTGTGTGTATTTTCTTTTTGGCCAGTGTATTTTTGTTTGTGTGTTTGTTTGCCTAGGATTTCAGTCCTCCTATCTTCACATGTGAAGAAGCTGGGAATATAGGCATGAATCGCTATACCTGGCCCCCTTCCATTAATCTTCTTATAGCACAAGTGAAAAAAAATATAAATGCTAAGTAATATGATTCACGAAAGAGAACATTTTAAACTCAAATATTTTCTCAGCCAGGTGCTAGTGGCTCCTGCCTGTAATCCTATCTACATATGAGACTGAGATCTGGACAAGTGGGGTTAGAAATCAGCCCCCACAGAAGTCTGTAAGATTTCATTTCCAGTTAACCAAAAATGCTGAACTGGACGCATGGTTCAAGTGGTAGGATGTCAGCTGTGAGCAAGAAAGCCAAACTATAGTGAAAATGCTAGGCACTGATTTCAAGCTCTGGTTCTGGTACACACACACACACACACACACACACACACACACACACACACACACACACACACACGCACACGCGCACACACACACACACAACAATTTTCTTTTGAAAATATAGAAATAGGAAAAATAAAGAACTCATTTAAAATTAGGTTAGCAGTAAGCCAGGTGTGATGGCCGATGGCATACATGTAATCCTAAAATCTCAGTGCTAAAAAAGCTGATGGTGAATTCAAGTCTAGTTTGGACTAGATTGCAAGAGCCTGTTTAATAAATTACATAAAGACTAACAGATTAGAGGCAGAACTGATTACTGACTCTTCTTGAGTACTTTTTATTTGAAACCAATCAAAAGCATATTTGTTATTTATTATGAGAAGCTCCCCTACCCCATGTTAATAGTGGCAATTTGGTTGAAATGGAGTGCTAATTCTGCACAGGAGAGCATGAGCTCATTCATTTAAGATACTTTTCAATTTCAATTAATGTTATTCTTTGAAGTTGTATCTTTCTGGGAAGCTGATTTTGGGAATCCAATGGAGGACTTTGTACATGAGTACAGTAAGCTGTCCCTCAGCTCTTTCACTCAAGGCTAGCACTCTACTACTTGAGTCACAGTTCCACTTCCAGATTTTTGCTGATTCACTGGAGATGAGAGTCTCACAGACTTTCCTGCCTGGGCTGGCTTCAAACCATGATCCTTAGACCTCAGCTGCCTGAGTAGGACTGTAGGTGTGAGCCACTAGTGCCTGGATGCTGTAAGCCCAACTTCTGAGCTAAACTCTCATCCCAAATTGTGTCTATTTCTTTTTTTTTTTTTTTTTGGGTCCGGTCATGGGGCCTGAACTCTGGGCCTGGGCGCTGTTCCTCAGCTCTTCAGCTCAAGGCTAGCGCTCTACCACTTGAGCCACAGCGCCACTTCTGGCTTTTTTCTTTTTGCTTATGTGGTGCTGAGGAATCGAACCCAGGGCCTCATGCATGCAAGGCAAGCGCTCTACCACTAAGCCACCTTCCCAGCCCCGTGTCTGTTTATTTCTTTGTGGAGAGATGGAGCTGAACCAATATATCAGCTGTGAAAGGAGCAGCAATATCAGATATCGACAAGAGAAAGCCTCTTTCTAGTCCTACTTTTCTCTGAAGCCATGACCTCTGTGCATGCAGCTGCTCTGAACTGGAGTTGCAATTTCATCCAGAGCCTCTAGGGGCCAGCATAATTCGAAGGACAGGCAAGCCTAGCAAACAGAAAGCTAAAGTTTGTGGGTATTGGGAGGAGAATGTGAAGTAAGTAGGCATGTGAGTTTCCAAAAAACTGGGGGCCAGGAGTTGAAGGAAAGCACAATCTGGCCTGTCCACACAGTGTTTTGGTTTGTGTCTAGTAGAAACTTGAGACTCAGTTAATAAGATTTGGTAAACTCTGGTAAAACCACTGGCAGTGTTATGATTCCCCTGGTACACAATGAAAGCCACACCTGTTTTTGTTTTTAATGGTACTTGGGTTTTGAACTCAGGGCCTTGAACTTGCTACACAGGTGCTCTATCATCTGAGCTATGCCTCCAGGTTATCACTTACCTTTTTAAAATGTCTAATTTTGTCACTCTGAATCTAGACTACTGGGATGTTAAGCACTGTAAATTGTGTCTCCCAAATTAGGGCTATTTCAATATAGACCTCTTATTCTAAAACTAAAATTATCTGAGTGGCTGACTGTGGCTGTTACTCTTTTTACTATAAACCATTTTAGACTACCCCCCTGTAGCAGTATGATTATAACTCTTCATTTTGGGGAGCCACTCATTACTGAAAAGCACTGCCAGTAAGATACCCACTCATACCCAGCAGAGTCTCAGAGACACGTGGAGGGTAGAAGCTGGAGAGGGGAAAAAAAGTACCCTTTGCTTTTCTTCCTGGTCTATCTCTCTGTATCTCTGGACAATACAAGAGGGACCACAGCTGATCAATAATTGTCTGCCATAATTGATGACTACGATGCATTGAGTTTCAGGGTAGGCAATCATTTATGCTAGTGACAAAAAGCACTTTGTATTGTTTTCTTCCTTGAAAGGGACAGGAAGAAACAGTCTTTAGTCCTAAGAAAGGAAATTATTTTCTACCCCTGACAAACTTGGATTTATAAAAGGAACACTGAAAAGTTTAAAAAAAAAAACCTTCTTGATTTATCATGCAAAGCAAAGAGTAATTTTTCTCCCCTTTGATCCTTTCATATAATCATGCTCACTGCCTGTCTGGGTGGCATTAAAGAATTTCTGAATAAAAATAATAATGTCTTGCTTTCAGGTTTCATAATTCACATGAGCCAGCACCCTGCTGGGTAGTGATGCCTGATGCCCAGACTGCTCAATCTCTCCCTCCTGCCACTTATCTACCCCACGCAGCTGCAGCTGGGCTCTGCACACCACAGTACCTGTAGGATAATGCGCCCGTAGGCATTCTTCAACAGATTAACCACATCGGCGTGAGACAGTCCATCCAAAGACTGCCCGTTAATGCTGACAATCCGATCTCCAACCTGGAGGAACAAAGTGGGTGAAAATCACTATCATTAAGAAAAATTAAATTTGAGAAGAATGCTTCAACTTCTTTGTGAAGCTCAATTTCCCAACTGTAGCTTTTGCAAGGATGCTGTGAGTCTACTGTGTGTGCCTGCTTCCAGAAGCATGAGGAATTTTTATGGCTTTTCTCCCATACAGACCAATCAGGGAAGCAAGAAAGGGAGTCAGATTTGATTACAAAAAGGCATAGCAGGTCACTTTTGTGTGTTGGTAATAGTGGTGTTTTATGTAGCCATTCCCCAGGAATAATGAGGTGTACAAATTAGCTGTTCGATAAAGCTCCAACGAGGAAGCCAAATATTTCCTCCGTTTTTCCTCTACCTTAGTTAAAATTGAGGCGCAATAGGGGGAAAAAATCATAAAATGTGTTTTTTTTTGTTTTTGTTTTTTTTTTTTGGTTAGGGGGAAATGCTGAGGTTAATTCTCTCTGAGCTGAAAACCAATTTTGGGCAGAATGAGGTGCTAAAAAGTGTAATAAAGGGTTTTTTTTTTTTTTGCAAAGGAGTTGCATTTTCTTCTTTTATGGAGAAACTTGGATACAAACAGTAACATTTTTATATGTCTAGGGAGCTAAGGAATTTCAGGTATAAAGTTTCTCTTAGGCATTCTGCCCTTAGCATGGGTCGTCCATGGCTTTTGGAAATCTACCTTCAAACAAGGTACCGGATATTGTAAGGTCCTTGTTCTCTCCCCACGTGGGGATTTTCAACCAGTCTCCTCTTACTTACTTTAAGCCTCTGGCTACGTGCAGCTACTCCATTGGCCTGAATCATGGCAATAAATATAGGGATATCTCCTAAGGGACTTCCTTTTCCTCCAGCAATACTGATTCCAAGGGCATCACTGAGCTCCTAAAAAAAAAAAAAGAGAGAGGGAGGGAGAAAATATGATGCTGGCATGTTTGTTCCCTGATTGTTCCCAGGCTGCTGTTGAACAAAATCTCTCCAGTGGCCAGCTACTAGTGGCTCACACCTATCATCTTAGCTACTAAAGAGGCTGAGATTTAAGGATCACAGTTCAAAGCCAACCAAGGACCTTAGAGAGCATCCACCATCGTGAGAGCAACTGAAAATATTCCTGAAGCTGAACCCTGTGTGTGAAGAGACCTGGCTCTAGTTCTGTTGGTAGCATGGGGTTAATATTTTAAAAATTGCTAAAATAACAAACAAGTCCCGGTCTGGCCGGCTGGCATACGCACATGGAACATGTCTCCATGATGGCAATGATGGAGAAGTCCTATCAACATACAGATACCAATTGCCTGACAAGCTGGGGAAATGACAGTGGACGATACATTGCCCAGGGTAGTTTTTCTTTTCTTTGTATTGGTATTGGGGATTGAACTCAGAGCTTTCTGCTCTTGTTTGGCTTTTTCACTCAGGGCTGCTCTACCACTTGAACCATACCTTCACTTCTGGCTTTTTGCTGGCTAATTGGAAATAAGCATCTCATGGACTCTTTTCCACTAGGGCTGGCTTTGAACTGTAATCCTCAGACCCCAGCCCCAGGTGTGAGCTACTGGTACCTGGCTTCATTTGCACTTTTTGAAAACATGGTCATTGTGTGCAAAATGGTAAAAATGTGTCTTAGTACCTAGAAAACCTCTGCTGAGACCACATACAGGAGAACAGGGTTGGTATGAACTGGTGTGTTATTAAAGCCCATGAAAGGAATAGTCTGAAATAACTAGAGACATTATCAAGTATTATTTTTAAAAAAATCTGAAGAACTAAATTATGTCTCCTTACAATTCCTGTGTTGAAACCCAAGTTTGGTCCCATTTGGAGCTCAGGGTTGAAGCTGAAGCCCTAACTACTCTGACTAAACCAGATTTTAAACGAAAAGGAGGACTGGCCCAAGGAAAGATTCTAGAACAATGAAATACACACAGAAAAGGCCACGTGAGGCTACTGTGAAAAGATGGCTGTCTATAAGCCAGGAGAGGGGAAGAGAGCACACTCAGGAAAAATGAAAGCTGCTAGGCCCTTAGCCTGGGACTTTAACCCTCCAGAACAATGAGAAAATAAACTTCTGTTGCTGAAGACACATGGCCTGTGGTATTTTGTCAGGATAGCCCCAGCAAATGAATGCAACCAAGGAAATAAATATAAGCAGCTTTAAACAAAGCTGGCTGAATCCAGAGATGGCTAGGATTATAACAGGGTCATAAAGCTTTTATCACTTTTTGAACCCCCAACTGACAGTCAAAGTGATCCGAATAGAAAACTACTTTTTGTTGTTGGTCGTGGTCGTGGGGCTTGAACTCTGGGCGTGGGTGCTATCCCTCAGCTCTTCAGCTCAAGGCTAGTGCTCTACCACTTGAGCCACAGCACCACTTCTGGTTTTCTGGTGGCTTATTGGAGATAAGAGTCTCATGGACTTTTCCTGACCGGGCTGGCTTTGAACCTGGATCCTCAGATCTCAGCCTCCTGAGTAGCTAGAATTACATGTGTGAGCCACTGGTACCCAGCGAAAACTACTTTCTAATATGGTGAATGCCACTCACACAGGGTGAAAATCAGGGTGTGACAGATTCATGAACTAGAATGTTATTTCACAATCTTTTCAAAAGGGCAATTTAGCAACATGTACAAAAGCTTTTCATAATAAGCATGTTTTCTTTTTCTTTTTTTAAGTCCTGAGACAGAGCCCGGGGCCTCACGTATGCTTGGCAAGTGCTGGGCCTCTCAGCTCCACCCTCATTCCCAAGCATGGTGCTTGATCTCACAGTTGAATTTCAAGGAATTAATCCTGAGAGATTATCCATGATATGGGCAATTGTAGCTATAAGGGTGTTTTGTTATATAATATAGAAATTGAGAAATTCTTCAAGAAGAGGAAGCTGATTAAGAAAATCATAGCCCCATTCACATACAGAATATTCTGGAACCAGTAAAAATCATGCTACAGTCTCAAAAACAAAACAAAACAAACCACTTATTGATGTGGTGAAAAGTTCAGGCTGCCAAGTAAAGAGAATGAGGTACAAGATTATGTCCAATCTATCGTTTATTTTTTGTGCGGATATTGGGACTTGAACTCAGGGCCTGGGTGCTATCTCTGAACATTTTTGCTCAAGGCTAACATTCTAACACTTGAGCTACAGTTCTATTTCTGGCATTTTGGTGATAAGTGAAGATCACTCTCATGGATTTTCCTACCCAGGCTAGCTTCAAACGATTGATGCTCAGATATCAAACTCCTAAGTAATTAGGTGACTGCAGGTATGAGCCATTGGTGCCTGGCATCATTTTTTTGTCTTATACATTTTTAACATTTTCTTTTGGTTAGTATTGGAGTTTGAATGCAGGGCCTCATGCTTCCTCGGCTAGCACTCTGCCAGCTGAACCATGCCTCCAGGCTGGCTTTTTACTAGTTATTTTGGAGGTAAGAGTAGAGTCTGGCAAACTTTTCTACCTGGACTGGCCTTGAACCAAGATCCTCCAGATTTCAACCTCCTGAGTAGTTAGGCTTAGTGTGAGCTACCAGTGTCTGGCTATTTTGTAAGATGTGAACACACACACACACACACACACACACACACACAAATCAGTGGTCATCTATGTGTTTTACACTATTTTTCTTTTTGGCTGGTCATAAGGCTTGAATTCAAGGGCTGGGCACTGTCCCTGAGCTCTTCAGCTCAAGGTTAGTACTCTACCACTTGAGCCACAGCACCACTTCTGGTTTTCTGGTGGTTAATTGGAGTTAAGAGTTTCACGGGCTGGCTTTGAACCATGATCCTTAGATCTCAGCCTCCTGAGTAGCTAGGTGTGAGCCACCAGTGGCAGGCTTTTACTCTATTTTTCTAAGTCTATTTCTGTTATATATTTAATTAGTTGCTTGGAAGAACCCACTAACAATCCGATCATTTGTTGTATGAGGAACAATGCACATTTTGCGCAAATCTAATACAAGCCATAATAAAAATAGCAAAATAACTTACTCTGATTATCTCAACAGTCCTTGGGCCCATATTTGTGCCTATAAAACAAAGTAAAGCCATTAATTTGTTTTCAAATTCAGAGCTAATATATTTAGGGTATCATAGCATCCTATGAGTGTGTTATCACTTTTAGGCCTTTCAGGAGAAGAGAAAAAAAGCAAATGGGCTTCAAACCATGACACGCTAGGGCTTATATTCCTTTTCAAGGTCAGCCCAGCAGTCAAGTCTTCAGGGCCATGCCTCTGTTTCACAGGAGTGCTCTGCTATTGAGATAGACAGGCCATGATTGTTTGGTCTGACAGAAGCTGATGACTGACAGTAGCAGGAGCTGCCTGAGGCAGTGATTCAATGCTCGGAGGATGAGCCATTTGAGTTTCACTGTGCACTTTTCTGTTCTAATCAAAGATAACCCTTCACCCAATGAAAGACTTAAGTCCCTGTCTCTGCCGTGTCCCCTGACTTCTCTCCAGTCACCTGTCATTTAGTAATGTTCTCACTGGAACTTGCTGCCCTGTCTGACACACTCCATTTTTCTGCTTCTCTGTTGATCCTTTTATCTGTGTATTCTTTATTTGTGAATGCGCGCCAGTCCCTATGCTTTTTTGCTCAAGGCTAGCACTCTTACCACTTGAACCACAGCTCCACTTTTGGCTTGTTTTGGGGAGGTAGTTTATTGGCGATAAGAGTCTCATGGAATTTTTTTGCTGGGGCTGGCTGTGAAGTGTGATCCTCAGATTTAAGCCTCTCCGACAGCTAGGATTACAGGCATGAGTCAATGGCACTTGATGATTTGTATATTCCTTTTTTTTTTTGGTAGAGTTTCATGTATCTATATATCATCTATATCTATTTCTATCAGATTAACCCCTTCTGAGACATGTCATTTGCAAATATTTTTGTTTTTTAATTTTTTTATTTCACAAACACCTTTTAATCTTCACAATGGTGATCTGTATATTCTTATTCTTTTTTTTTTTATTGTCAGGGTGATGTACAGAGGTGATCTATATATTCTCTTTTTTTTTTCTTTTTTGGGTCCGGATGTGGGGCCTGAACTCTGGGCTTGGGCGCTGTCCCCCAGCTCTTCAGCTCAAGGCTAGCGCTCTACCACTTGAGCCACAGCGCCACTTCTGGCTTTTTTCTTTTTGCTTATGTGGTGCTGAGGAATCGAACCCAGGGCCTCTGGCATGCAAGGCAAGTGCTCTACCACTGAGCCACCTTCCCAGCTCCCATTCTATATATTCTTAAAGGCACATTTCAAAGGACTTAGGGGAGTGCCAGGAGTGGATGGCTCATGCCTGTAATCCTAGCTACTCAGGAGGCTGAGATCTAAGGATCGAGGTTCAAAGCCAGCCAGGGCAGGAAAGTCCATCCAAGAGACTCTTTTTTAAAAAAAAATTATCTTTAAGTAGTTGTGCAAAGAAGTTCCCATTCTACAAAACAGTATATGAGTACAAAGTATCTGACAACATTGTCACCCATCTCCATCCAAGAGACTCTTATCTCCAATTAACCACCAGAAAACTGTTAGTGGTGCTGTGGCTCAAGTGGTAGAGCACTAACCTTGAGCTGAAGAGCTGAGGGGCAGTGCCCAGGCCCAGAGGTCAATCAAGCCCCATGACAGACAAAAAAAAGACTTAGAGGATTGAATCCAAGGTCTTGTGTAGCTATGTAAGCACTCCACTCTACCACTGAACTATAGAACTATATCCCAGCTCCCCCCTAGCAATGGGGTTAGAATTCAAGGTCTCATACTGCTCAGCTGGTGTTCTACCACTTAAGCCATGCTTCTAGTCAGATTTTTTTATAGTAATTTTGGAGGTTGAGACTTGCAGTCTTTTCTGTCTAGGCTAGGTTCAAACCATGATTCTCTAGATCTCAGCCTCCTGAGTCATAAGGACTATGGGCATGAGTCACCAGTGCTTGGCCTCTAGTCCTTTTTTACTTTTATTTTTGAGACAAGTGTCTTGTTAGGTTGCCCAGGTTGACCTCCAGATTGCAATCCTCATGAGCCAGCCTCCAGATTAGCTGGAATTTCAAGCATGTGCCACTATGTCTGGCTTTAAAACAGTTTAATTGAAGAGGACAAGACTGATTTTTGAAAGCAGGAATATTAAATCTGGGTAAGAAGATGGTTTTTCTGAGTCTTTTTGGTGTGATACCTGGAGTTTTCTGGGAGGGATCTGAAGTTCTTTTAGTGCCCACCAGGCTTTGCAGGCCAGCGATGACAGGAGCCAAGGAAGGCCGACAAGTGCTGTGTGGATGCCCCTGAAACAAAGACCCAGTGCTCACTTGCTTGCAGACAAATTTGTACTTATGTTCGTGGCAGTTGTGGGAGCCACCATAATCTAACAGGAACCGCAGAGGTCAAGAAAGAAAAATGAAATGACCAACTCATTCCCTTCCGTTCCACCCAAGTCTCACCTGCACACCTTTCCTTTGCTTTCTCTATAATATATACTTTGAGACTAGAGTTCAATAGAACCCTGTTTGAGCTGGTATGTGTGTGTGTGTTTGCTCCAGTACTAGAGCTTGAACTCAGGACCTTGTTCTCTTGCCTGGATTTTTCACTCAAGCCTGTCTGTCACTACTTCTGTAGCCCACAGCTCTACTTCTGGCGTTTTGCTGATTAACTGCAGATAAAGAGTCTCATAGACTTTCCTGACCAGGCTGGCTTGGATTAAACTGCAATCCTCAGATCTCAGCTTCATACGATTACAGGCATGAGTCACCAGCACCTATTGAAGCTGTAATAAGTTACCATATACTCAATGGCTTAAAATAAGCATATATTTATAGTGTCACAATTATAGGTCAAAAGTCTGTCAAGGAGCTATGAGGATAATAGTCTGAAGCCGACCCAGACAGGAAAATCCATGAGAGTCTGATCTCCAATTAATCACCAAATAGCTAGAAGTGCAGCTGTGGCTCAAGTCATAGGATGCTGGCCACTAGTGAAGAGCTCAGGGACAGGGTCTGGGCCCTGAGTTCAATTCCCAGGGAGTATGCATGTGCATGCACACGCACACGTGCATGCGCACGCATGCATGCACGCGCGCGTGCACACACACACACACACACACACAAAGTCTATCATGGGTCTTTCTGGATTCAAATCAAGACCTTAGCAGACTGCACTCCTCCCATGATCTTAGGGAAGAATGTACGTCCTTGTCTCAAGTCACATTTTTTTAACCTCAAAACAATGGCCTGCCATAACCTACCAAGAAGGCCTGGGCATCCCACACAAGTTTCTATATTTGCCACATGGGTTAAACACATAGTCTACCATTTTGTTTGTGTCAGCCATTATAATGGAAAGAAATACAGTGAAAAATAGCACTTACATCACCAGCCTTGCAAAGAAACATAACAGGTTTGCTACTCCACAGAATGTCACCCCCCCCCATGACCTCTCTCCCATAGGAGAAAGCCACCCACTTCCTTCTGCTAGGCATGCATCACTAGGGCCTTCAGCACGTGTGAATGGCTATTCACAAGTTAACTTTACAGCAATATTTAATCGAATGAATAGAACAATGTCGTGCTAATGAGGGTCAAATTGCCACCAGATGTTGTCCCCTTTTTCTTTCTTTCTTTTTTGTTTAAAGCAAACACAGCTGTGTACATATGTGCATAGGCAATACAGAACAAATAGCAGGAGAGAAAAGTGGCCCTAGGGGGAAAAAAGTGGCCCTAGAAAAATCTAGGGATTAATGAATTTCCATTCCACCCTTCACTATAATTTCAAACACATGAAAACACACTGCAGTTGGGTGAATACGCTGCATATTAAGACATAATTTCATTTGTAAAATGAGGTGCTTTCTCCCCCAGAGGGAGTGATTGAGCAAAGCTGAGAAACCATGAACACCTGACTGTTTTGCGATGTCTTCCTTGAGGAGGTCCAGGAACCTGCTCGGAGTCTCCCGATCTCCAGCTGCACAAGCCCCTGGGCACACTTGGGAAGACAAAAAGAACAGAGGTGAGCTGGGCACTGGTGGCTCACGCCTGTAATCCTAGCTACTCAGGAGGCGAGGATCTGAGGATCCAAGTTTGAAGCCAGCTTAGGCAGGAAAGTCTGTGAGGCTCTTATATTCAAATACCCAGCAAAAGCCAGAAGTGGAGCTGTGATTCAAGTGGTAGAGTGCAACCTTGTGGGTCCTGAGTTCAAACCTCAGTACTGGCACAAAGAAAAAGAAAAGAAAAGAGAACAGAGAGGAAATGCACTTATAGGCAGGCTCTAAGATACCAAGGAAGAACCTCTCCTTGTCTCTGCAGGATGCCATGGTGGTTTCCGTCATCCAAACATCAAACACAATAACACAAACTTGTTGGGTGCCCATGGCTCACACCTGTAATCCTATTCAGGAGGCTGAGATCTGAGGATCATGATTCTAAGCCAGCCCAGGCAGAAAAGTTTGCGAAACCCTTATCGCCAATAAATTACCAAAGAAGCTGTAAGTGGCTCAAGTGGTAGCGTGCTAGCCGTGAGCAAAAAAAGAAAAGCTCAGGGACAGCACCCAGGCCCTGAGTTCAAGCCCCAGGACTGGCAAAACAAAACAAAACAAAACAAAAAACCCCATGCCCCACAAATGTAGAAGCACAACAGTATGTATCTCAGGACTTAAAAAAAAAAATGTCTAACATCACCTTGCTCCTCTTCTTCTTCGCTTTTGATGAAACCATTTACAAAGAGTGATATGATTAAGAAAGTAAGAAAAAAGCTGAAGACAGAAGTCAAACACAGAGATAATTTACAAATACAGGTCCTCTGTTTAGTGGTGATAGCTGACTATAGCAAGAAATCAAAGTTTTTTGTGTGCAGTGCTGGTACTTGAATTCTGGGACTCTTGCTTTTAGCTGGCAATTTTGCTGAAGGCTAACACTCCCACTTGAGCCACAGCTTCATTTCTGGCTTTTTGCTGGTAAATTAGAGATAAGAGTCTCATGGAACTTTTCTGCCTGATCTGGCTTCAAACTGTAAACCTCAGATCTCAGCCTCCTGAGTAACTAGGATTACAGGTGTGAGCCATGAGTGCTGGCTAAGAAATCAGAAATTCCCAATGCAATTCCCCTGTCTTTGCACAAGCTCCACACTTATCTATGGGTCCACGTGGCAGACCCCTTGGAAGGCACTCTCGATCCTCAGCATCTTTCCAAGGTCACTGAATGCCACTGTCAGGCACTGAAAGTTCTAGCACAGCTTTGGGACTTCCGGTGGATCATACTGCTTTTCAATTTCCATTTGCAAAATGGAGAACTTGGTCCAGATAATCCTTAATGCTTGCCTTACAAGAAAGGGGAGACTGGATTGGAGGAATCTCCCACCACATGGCTCCTGACAGGGTCTACAGCAGGAGGGAGAGCTCCAGGCTCCACTTTGGCCACTGTACGAGGTGCATGGTGCATTTAGAAGACAATTGTGGAGAGATGGGATTCTCACAAGCATGAAAACCTAGCTTGGAAAGCTCAAAGCTGGTTCTTTACATTTTTTCAAGATAATGGAGCCTTCTTTTAAAGCAATTTCTGGTCATTTGAAATTATCAAAGATTGGATTTCAAGACTAGAGAGAGGCCTGTATGCACCACATTTGACAATCCAGGTGGGTTTGGGTAGTGCTGTGTGGGTTTGGGGTGGGAGCAGCTGTGGGGTCTCACCTTGAGGACAGTGGCCACCGTCTCCTGTGAGGCATTTCTCATGTTCTCCCCATTCACCGACAGGATCTGATCTCCCCGAATCAGCCTCCCATCCAGGTCTGCAGCCCCGCCTTTCACAATGTCAGAAATAAACACTCCACTTCCGGTCCTGAGAAAACCATAAAGCAGTCAGGGATTGGCACAGCCAAGTTTTTCTAAATTAAAACCTGAGATCACTCACTCTCTGCATGAAATCCTGAAACTTACCAAAGGCCCTATGAAATTTACCTCTCCATTCTTTCTTGCCTTGATTATTTTTTAAGTCTTAATTGAATGCCTTTCATGAATTTCAAGGGGATAAAACTGCACACTTTGAAAGCTGCCTTCTTACCTCAGTTCTCATGTCCTCAGCCCCTTGAGGCCACCTGCTACCTGATTTTCTGTTTCTACATGAGCATAGTCCACCACACATAGTACATAAACTAAACCACATTCCTTTACTCCACCTTTTTTCCCTTCCTTCCTTTCCTTCCTTCCTTCTTCCCTTTCCTTCCTTCCTTCCTTCTCTCCCCCCCTCTCTTTTTTTCTTTCTTTTTTCTTTTGTGCTGGTACTGGGATTGACCTCAAGCCTGGGCACTGTGCCTGAGCTCTTTTGCTTAAGGCTAGTGCTCTACTACTTGAGCCACAGCTCCATTTCTGGCTTTTGTGGCTGATTGTAAATAATGTCTTACAGATTTTTCTTGCTGGGACTGGCTTTGAATGGTGATCCTCAGATCTTAGCCTCCTGAGTAGCTGGGATTAATGGTGCCTTGATATTAGTTCTTTCTTGGATATGATTATCTTCATTAGCCTCTGCCAGCCTTAGATCTAGATATTTCAAATGGAGCAAAATCTTGCTAGCTGTTTGTACTTCAGAAGGAAACATAATATTCTGGGTTGACAGAACTTGTGATTATGTCTTAATTTTTTTGAGACAGGGCTCATGATGTAGCCCAGGCTGGTCTCAAACTCACACACTCAAAATGATTCTGCTGCTAGAAAAGGCCCCCTTACCCCGAGCACCCAGCCAAATAGCTAGGATTACAGTTGTGCATGGTGATCCCATGCTATCTTGATTTGATGAGTATTATAAAAGTATGGTTCAGAAATAGAATCATCTGTCACACATCTTAGTTGTAGAAATCCCAGCATTAGTGTTCAACAGGCTTTATCTTTAGCTCTAGTGTGCATGAGTTCACCATAGAGAAAGCGGATCCTGAGTTGAAGCATGCCTTACCGTTTCCCAACGATGCTCAGGCCTAGTCCTCGGCCAGTCTTCTTCTGCAGATCCACATGGAAGATATCCAAGTTCTCCTCGTCCCGGTAGTGGGCCTCATCCCTGAAAACCACCAGCTGCACCTTCTGCGGAGTCTGTCTCAGGGCAGTGATGGCCTCCTCGTGGCTGGAGCACCGCAGGTCAACCCCATTCACCTGTAACAGGGATACCCACCGGGGGTGGCTGCTTTGATCCAACCAGGGAGAATCCTCTTGACATTTCCCATCATGCCCCAAGCACACAGTTGTATGAGTGGCTTCAAATAGTAAGGAGAAGGCCCCTACATATCCCAAGCTCATGTAAATGTGGACTGTGGGTTAGAGCAATCGACACAGCTGTGGACTTTCCATAGAGTCCGTGAAGGAGAGAAAGAGGGAGAAAACTAATTTATTTAATTGAGGTTAAAGGGAAACAAAAGATGATGTCCATCAATATATTTAAAACCACTTTGCTTATTAGATTCCACCCCCCCCCCACCTCCATACTGGAGTTTGAACTCATAACTTGGGCTTGTTTGGTTTTTTTGATTGCTTGCTTGGTTGCTCTAGCACTTGAGCCACACCTCCAGTCTGGTATTTTTCTGGTTAATTGAATATTAAGTCTTGACACACTTTTATCATCCAGATCCTCAGCAATGATTGTCTAGGTCTCAGCATCCCGAGTAGTTAGGATTACAGGTGTGAGCCCCTAGTCCTGGCTGACATCCTCACTCTTAAAGCTCACATCACAACCACTTCAGAATGGAAATGTCAAAGATGGTGCTCTCCCCCTTGAATCTGGATCTAAGTAATAAGCATAGCAAGGATCTCCCACAATAGATATAGCAAAAGCACTAAGAACTGCCACAGGACTGCCCTGCAACACTCCTGAGCCTCAGTTACATGGAGATCATAGCAAACCTACTTGTTTATTTATTGGCTGTAATGGAGTCTGAACTCAGGGACTTGTATTTCCTAAGCAGGCAGGCACTCTATCCCTGAGCTACACCTCTTGTCCTCTTTATGTGTGTGTGTGTGTGTGTGTGTGTACGCATGTGTGCGTGCGCACATGCACACACACACATACAGGCACACGTGCGCACGTATGTATATGTCAGTCTTGGGGCTTGATCTCACAAACTTATCCTTTTTTACTTTGATTATTTTTGAGGTAAGGTCTCATCTTTATACCCCAGGCCACCCTGAATCATGATCCTCCTGATCTCCATCTCTCATATAAGCGGGATTACAGGCATGAGCCACTACACCTGACTTTTATCTTTTACTTAAATATTTCTGAAGTACCTCTGTGAAACCCTTTGTATTTTTTTAAAGAAAATTTAAAGGTACTCATTACATGACTTATGTAACTCTAACCCCTCTCTGTATATCACCTTTACATTAAAAAGAACAAAAAAAGCTTTTTTTATTAGAAAATACTAATTGGCGCTGGGAAGGTGTCTCAGTGGTAGAGTGCTTGCCTTGCATGCATGAGTTTGATTCCTCAGCACCACATAAGCAAAAAGAAAAAAGCCGGAAGTGGCGCTGTGGTTCAAGTGGTAGAGTGCTAGCCTTGAGCTAAGAGCTGAGGGACAGTGCCCAGACCCAGAGTTCAGACCCCATGACCGACCAAAGAAAAAAGAAGAAAATACTAATTGTACAAAATAATAGGTGTTATTGTGACATTTTCATATGTACATATAAATAATGTATACCTGATCTCTGAGTCTGGCATAGTTCACTAACACAACAATCTCAATTCCATCCATTTTCCTACAACAGGCCGGCAACCTACCCCGATGGTGTCATTCTTCTTCGTGCTAAATAGAACTCCATTGTGTGTACATCACAGTTTCTCTATATGAGCCGCATGCTGATGAGCCTTGGTTGATTCCAAAACTTGGCCATTGTGAACAGTGCTGCATTAAACATATCTGTACAGGTATCTCTAGTGTATCCTTTGGGTTCTGCTGTAGTATCCAGGACTGGTGTAGTAGGATCATATGGTTTTACTTTTAGTATTCTGAATACCCATCATACAGATTTCTAGAGTGGCTGCATTAATTTCCATGATCACTAATGGTGGCAGCTCCTCCTCATCTTGGCTAGCTTTAAAAAAAAAACTATGACAACTGTCATTCTGATTGAGGTGAAACAGAATCTCAATGTAGTTTTGATCTGTATTTCCAAATGGCTTTCTTGGCCATTTGGACTTTTTCTATCTGCCTATCTGTTCACTTGCCCACTTATTTATTGGATTACTTGTTCTTTGTCTTATTTTTTGAGTTCTTTATATATTCTAAATATTAATCCTCTTTTGGATGAACAGCTGCAAAGACTCTCTCCCATTCTATAGGCTCTTTGCCCAAGTAATCATTTCCTTTGGTGTGAAGAAGCTTTTTAATTTGATGCAATCCCATTTGTCAATTCCTGAGTTCTTGGAGTCCTATTCAGAAAATAATTTCCTACTTACAAGAAATGTTTGGAGTGTTTCCTCTAGTAGTTTCACACATTCAGATTTTAAACTAAGATTTTTGGTCCATTATGAATTGATTTTATACAGTGTAGGAGTTTGTCTTCTTACATGTAGATCTCTAATTCCTAACACAATTTCTTTTCTTCCTTTTTCCCCCTTTGTTTACGTGGTGGTACTAGGCCTTGAACTTAAGGTCTAAGCACTGTCCCTTAGCTTTTTCACTCAAGGCTGGTTCTCTACTACTAGAGCCATAGTTCCACTTCTGGTTTCTTGGTGGTTAACTGCAGATGAAAGTTTCCCAGACTTTTCCTGCCCTGGATCCTCAGACGTAGCCGCCTGAGCTAGGATTCCAGGAGGGAGCCGCCAGCACCTGGCTCCAGCACTCCTTCTTGAAGAGGCTTTCTTTTCTCCAGTGTAAGTTTTAGGCCCTTTTGTTGACGGAGCTGTGGCCGTGTGGGTTATTTCTGTGGTCTCTATTCCATTGATCTACATGTATGTTTTTCTGCCAGTATCACACTGCTTTTGTTACTATTGATTTGTCATTTATGGATATTTACTCATTTAATCTTTAGACAAAATCCCTGAAGTAGACACTGCTATCATTACTATTGATAGATGGGGAGACTAAGTCACATGGAGGCTAAGGAAATGGCCAGGGTCACAGGCAGCAGATGGAGGGACCAGGCTTTGAACCCAGATACTCTTTACATTCTTAGGCCCAGAACATGAAACCTCATAATGTACTTTACTTTTGTTTTTGGTGCCAGTCCTGGGGCTTGAACTCAGGGCTTATGCTCTGTTCTTGAGCTTTTATGATCAAGGCTAGTGTTCTACTACTTTAGTCACAATTCCACTTCTGACTTTTGTTTTTGTTTTGTAGTTAATTGGAGATAAGAGTCTCACAGACTTTCCTGGCTGGACTAGCTTCAAACTGTGATCCTCAGATCTGGGCCTCCTGGGTAGCTAGGAGGATTACGGGTGCAAGCCAGCAAGGGTTTGGGGTAATGGCACCATCCAGGGCTACCTCCTCTCTGCAGGAAAACTAGAGAACAAAGAGGGAAACCAAGTTTCTAGAAAATGCGTTCTGAGCTGATTATTCCCTTGTGCTCCAATAGGTGGCACAGGAGACCACTACTGTTATTCAATTAAAAACACAAAGGTTTCTCCATGGAAGGAAGGTGAATTTTCTAAGCCTTGAAATATCTTCTGAAAGGCCTTAATTAAAAACTTTTAATTAAAAGCAGTGTCATTAAACTCTAGTATTTCTGCTACACTCCAGCAGGAAGGCGTCAGCTCAGAAGCAGGCAGTTTCGGGTCCATTTCCGACGGCCCCTTTGCTGTGGGGGGCATCACTGCGTGCACAGATCCTGAGGAACGTGGGATTGCGGGGGGCGGGGGCCGCTAGAACCCGGGGCAGGGTAGCTCTCAAGTACTTCTGTACAGAAACACTACGTGTGTTCTCTAGAACACTGGTTACAGAACAAGAGGGGGGGATGCAGGGCTCCCATGATGGGCTTGGGGGAAGTGGGCAAACCACTGCTTTAGGAGAAGAGAATAAAACTAGGTCTACAATGCTTGCATTGACACCCACATAGAAGGCAGTAAGGGTGGCGGGAGTGGTAAGATCAGGTGGAAAGCCGACAGTGAGAAGGAAGACATTGTGTATATTCACCATAGTCTTAATTCTTGACATGATCCACTATCTGACTCTCTGGACAGGACCTGGCTTGCTCCCATTTTTAACACAAGGCACGATGAAACCATGAGCTAGGAGAATGCAGAGGATTCTTGGAAGGCAGACAAGCCATTGTTTGCTGAGCTTAGTCTGACATCAGTTCAGGCCACAGGCTGATGAACTAGAGCACATCCAGGTGAAGTGACCATAGCACCTTACTTAGCTAAAAGCACATGACTCAAGGAACCGGCAAGATGTTTCTTAAGCGGTAGATGACACACACTCTCCTGTGTAAGAGAAGAGCTTGGACTAGCCATCTTTGAGAAATACAAACCATCCACTCAGTCTGGAAAAGGGCATTCTGTGGCATACCAGGAAACGGCTGACCTCAGCTTTCTAATGCTCCTTCCATGAAGCATGAGCAAGCCTCCCCATGCTAGCCTTTACCTAGGGTTCACCTGTTTGGGAACATACTCACAGAAGACAGCAGCCAGGGTAGAGGGGTGAGCCTTCCACTAGATGTGTGCAGATACTGGTATGTGAACTCAGAGCTTGGCTGCTGTCACTTAGCTTTTTTGCACAAGGCTGGTACTCTACCACTTGAGCCATAGCTCCACTTCTGGCTTTTTGGTGATTAATTGGAATAGGAATTTCATGGACTTTCCTGCCCCAGCTGGCCTCAAACTGTGATCCTTAGATCTCAGTCTTCTACTTAGGGGATTATAGGATTGAGCTCCCAGCCCCAGTTTGTTTATTTATTTTACTGCAGTATAATTGGCATAAAATAAGCCATATATATTTCAAATATACAGTTTAGTAGGTTTTGACATCTGCCTTTATACATTGAAGCCCTTTGATTTCAAGTGACCATTCAGGATAATTTATGGACTTAACAATTTATATAAGAACCAAGGCATATTTGCATCTGCACTATTTGGGGAGCGTGGCGGTGGGGGTAAGGCCAGGGGCCTGAACTCAGGGCCTTGCATTTTCATCATTCAGGTTATTTTTTGCTTGGCTGGTACTCTGTCACTTGAGCTATGCCTTCAGTCCAGACATTTTGCTGGTTAATTGGAGATGAAGTCTTGGTGGTCTTTTCTGCCTGGGCTGGTTTTGAACCATGATCCTCAGATCTCAGCCTACTGAGTAGCTGGGATTACAGAAATGAGCCATTGATGCTTGGCTGCATTTATCCTATTTTAAAAATATTTAACTTATTTATCTTCAGAGACCAATTATGATAACAGTAATAAGAAAACCTAGGAAGGATAAAACAAAATCCAAACATTCCCCCAAACTGCTAACCACTACAAACCATACCACCATTCCCAAAGGGGCTTTGCTTATTTCTCAACCTTCACCCCTGTACCTCAGTGAATGTGCTGGGGAGCACTTCTGTCCACTGACCAAACACACCAAAGGCCTGCACAGAAACCTTAGGACATGACCTGCAAATGTGCAACCTGTGTGGCCTCTCCTTTTAATGTCTTTTTGCTTATGTTTGCGGCCCCTAATTAAATCTCTGTTTTCATCATGGGAGAACAAAATGAACCAAGGGGAAGAATAAAATTCTCTGACATCATCCAAAATGGGCTATATTCAATCTGAAAGGCAAAAAACAAAACAAAACAAAACGTACATGCCCACCATAAAATCAAACTCTTCCATTAAATGTATCCAATGGAAGAAGCAAATGTTGCTGAAAGGCTTCATACCACTGAAAAAGCCCTTTAGTTTCTCCTAGTAGATGTCTAGCACTGATTAGCTTCCTGTCTCCTGCATCCATCTGTATCTTCCTGTGTCCATTCCTGTCTCTACACTTGGTAATGACTTAGCTAAATGAGAATCTCTGCAACCTATAAGTCCAGGTAAGTATTCCAGTGTTGTTTTGTTTTTGTTTTGTCTTGGTCCTGGGGCTTGAACTCAGGGCCTAGGCACTGTCCCTGAGCTTTTCTTTTTGTTCAAAGCTCTCTCTACCACTAGAGCCAAAGCTCCATTTGCAGCTCTTTTGGTAGTTGATTGGAAATAAGAGTCTTATGGACTTTCTTGACCAGGCTGGCTTTGAACTGTAATCCTCAGATCTCAGCCTCCTGAGTAGCTAGGATTAAGCTACCAGCACTCAGCGCACTTCTGGGGTTAATCAACATACACCAACTAAATTCATCCATACATTCATCAACATCATAAACATCAAAATTCTGGTGGCAGGATGCAGACTTTCCTCTGACATAAAGGTTAGGATTTAGAAAATACTTAACATGCAGTAAAGTCTTGTAAGATATCAAGTGTATATGTTTATGTATAGGTATCTGTATTTTCTAAAAACAAGGTCTTATTATTTAGCCCAAAATGGCCTTTAACTTGAAATCTCCCTGACTCAGCCTTCTGAGTGGTTGGATTACAGGTGTATACCATCATGCCTGGCTATGTATGCATGTGTTTTTAGGAGGGAATTCAGTAAGGTATACTGGAGAAGCCAAAAAAAGATCCAGTTGCAGTATTGTACTTTTTTCTTTGAATTTGTACTTTTTCTTTGAATTAAAAAAGCTCTTGGGACTGGAAGTATAGAGCACCAACTTTGAGTGAAGAAGCTAAGCAAGAATGCAAGGCCCTGAGTTCAAGTTCCAGTATTGGGGAAAACAAAAGTTCTCATAGATGAGGTTGATAATATATCAGTGAGTTGCTCAATGCATTCGTGCGTGCACATGCATGTGTATACACGCACACACACACACACACACACACAGAGAAGATTGTTAAATAAGAGAAATCAGTGCAGGTGCAGCTAAATGGAAGACATATGAATTAGCCTTGTGGACCAGGGTTGGCAAAGCAACTGTGGTTACTAGATGAAATAAAATTTAAAACTACATACCTCTAATATCTGGTCTCCAGCCCATAGCCTTCCATCTCTGGCTGCAGCTCCTTCTTCATAGACTTCATGGATAACTATAGCATCCTGTAAAACAGCGACAATGACAATATAACTCCTATGAATTCTCTATAACCACAAATGCTTTCATAAGCAACCAACCAAGCCATGGGCAGACACCCACACTTTGGTATTAGCCAATGTTTATTTCAGCTCATAAAAAGATAAATGAGATGATTTGTTTTTTTCCTTCCCCTCCACAAATTATACTGACATCAAATACAGTGAAAGCAGGGGTTATACTGTGGGGGAGGGACATACAAAGCAACAAAGAAATAATCTTATAAATGTGTTAGAAACAATTGCATGGAAGAAAAAAAAATTGAATACTTATCTTGGGGTTCATTTCCCTAACATCAACTTATCTGGACCCATTGCAACAATGAGATGTACAAGTCGTTATGTCGAAACGAACTTTACAACTTTGGTGGTGGTGGGAGGGGGAGGAGGATTGGATTGGGTTGGGGGGGGAGGATGGGAAGGGGAAACAAAGGAGGAGGTTATAATGCTTGATAAGAAATGTACTCATTATCTTGCCCATGTAATTGTAACCCCTCTGTACTGTATTTTCACAAAAAAAAAGATAAATGAGACATGCAGTGACATATTAGAAGGGTAATTAAGGGGTAACTTTCCTAAGATTAGTATTTTACTCTTTCAGAACTGGCTTCGTTGGATCACAGCTGTAATCCTGGCATCTGAGCAGGTGAGATCTGAGGATGTGCATCCAAAGCCAATCCCCAGTCAAACACCAAAATGCAGGTGGTGGAGATATGGCTCAAATAGTACAGTGTCAGCCTTGAGTTAAAAACTCAAAGAAGAGTGTAAGGTCCTCAATTCAAGCCCCAATACTAACACACACACACACACACACACACACACACACAAACTGGTTTTACTGAATATTTCATGTTAAATCTCCTGCATGGGTTTCACTGTTAACCTTTGACATGCTGCTGTGTGTGAACCTGAGGTGAGTCCTGTGTCATTCCTATTGACATTTTTATGGTGTATTTTCAAACATAATTTTGGCACACTGGCACCAGAGGACTGACATAGATGTGTTGCCCAGTGAAGGGAATTGTTAGGCCTCATTACTTAGGCAATGAAAGGAAATAACCAGTTGAATGAACAGGCTCTGAAAGATAAAAACAGCATAAGGAAAGAACTAGTCACAGACTCAAGTTTAAGACAGCTGTGGGTTCAAATCCTGCCATCATGTAATCTTGGAAAGATTAACTCCTCTGAATTTACCATTGTAAGTTATTAGGACACTATCTATGGTAGGTAAGCTTTGGTGAAGAAAGTATGTCATGGTTGGTGAATTAAGAACATGTGAAGTAGGGGTGGGGTTTTAGCTCAGCGGAGGTGCACTGGCTTAGCAAATGCAAGGCACTGAGTTCAGTCCTCAGCTCTGCAAAAACAACAACACACAAACATGCACAGATCTTCACATTAATAATTCTAGAACTGTATCATCAAAATAGGATACCCCAATATAAAGGACTGAGGCAACCACAGAGAGCTCTAGACCACACAAAGATGCTGCGTTTCACTCGGCTTTTCCAGTCTGTCTTAGAGACACCTGCCATTCAGCTTACTAAGGATCTCTCCAGACAATCGGCATTCATACAACAAAATCATTACATATTTTGGCGAGACTATCAGAAAATATTCAAGTGAGTTTGTTTGCATTATTTTTCCCTCCTTCAAACTTTGCAACGCCTTGCCTTGGGGGTTCTTTGGGGTGTTATTTATCAACAAGCTACCAGAAGGCACAGGCTCATATTTAATGGAACTGAAGGGTACAGAACAGTTATGTCAAATGGACCCCACTAGGTGACCTGGGAGGGCTGCTGGGAGCAGGAAAGAGCTCTTGAGTGGAGATGGAGATCTATTTCCCCAGGCAGGATCTGGGATCTGCTCTCTCCAGCCTCCTTCATTCCGCACCTGTGGCAAACAGAAGCACAAGATCCTGCATGCAGTGGGTCTAGGTTGATGCCTCTGGGGCAGATGGCACGTATAAAAGATCTTAGCCTGGCATGAAGCAGTGGGACTGGCAGGGATCCTGCAGGCTTTGATGAGGACGGGCCTCCTGGTTGCCACAGTGAACTAAGGACCAAGAACACAACAGTCTTGCCAATGGGGGGGGGGGGGGGGGGCGGGTCGGTTTTGTTAAGAACCCTGAGAGTTAATGAACTCCAGAATGATTGAAATTAAATTTTACCTTAGTCTACAGTCTCAGCATGAAGACTACATGAAGTAAGGATAAAAGTGAGACATTTCTTGCAAAAATAATACCAACAAGATAAAAAGAAGAGTATCCTCTAAAACATTTTATTTATAAAAAGGAAGCCATTCCTTTAGAAATTCTGGAGAAGAGAAGCAACAAAATTAGAGGTGTATAGCCAAAAAACCCACCTGGATTCTAAATACCTTTACAGTACTTTGATTTTTATCAGAATGCAAGTGTGGAAACATTATTTATTATAGCAATTAGACAGGTAGTTTCTGGGACCCAGAAAGGCCTCTTGATTCTAGATCAATTACATTTCAGATTCTGTACCAGTAGACTTTTTTTTTTTTAAAAGATCTTTTGCTTAACTCTGCCTTATGAAATTTGAGACCCAGGGAGAATTTACACTGCTTCAGAGGAAAGACCAAACTGTGTTGGGTTGCAGCTTAAGGCCATTCTAACACATTGACTTGGTCTCATCAAGGGCCATTTGGAACAGGGAGAAACCAAGGCAGGCTCTGGAAACAGCCTAGGTAATGATGCTATCTGCGAAGTGTGGCACCCGAGTACAGTCTCTTCTCTGGGCTGGGGAAAGCCACATACTGAACACAAGTCATGTGTGATTTTTACTGGACATGGTGTTCAGTATAAACTTTTTTTTTAACTCTCAGAACCATTACAAAAGGCAAACAGGATATTTTCCTTCAATCAAATTTAAAGGAAGGAGAAGACCTCATAGAGATTTTATTCAATAAAGGTGGTCTGAATCCTAAATTGATTAAGTCCTTTCTGGTACTCAAGAGGTACCAGACATAAAGGAAAGTTACTGTTCAGAGTCTCAAGAAATGCCAGATTCACTGCTAATCGTCTGGGTTTAGTGTCTCAACCTTTCTGAATGAAAAAAATATCCCTGTAGCACACTGGTGGCTCACACCTGTAATCCTTGCTACCCAGAAGGCTGAGACCTCAGCACAACAGATGAAGGAAAGCCACTATCGGAGATAATGATCTCCAACTAACCAGCAAAAAAGCTGGTAGTGGAGGTGTTGTTGAATGGTAGAGGGCCAGTCTTGACAAGAATAATCTAAGAGACAGTGTCCAGGCCTTGAATTCAAGCCCAGGACTGGAGCAGGTGTGGGTGTGCATGTGTCCGTATATGCACACATGTACACATGCACACTTGAGTGCGTGCGCACACACACACACACACACCTGTATATTTCTTTCTTTTTTGCCTGATACGGCTACAATTTCTCTGAATCTGTGAAAGCACAAGAAAACCTGCATTTAAAAAAAACTGCAAAGCCGTGTGCTGAGTTCTGTAAAGCTGTGATTCTGTAAACTTGCATTAACTGTGGGTGACAAATGTCAGAGTTCAAGAGTTCAAATTAGAAATATGTGTGGTTTAATTGAAAAAAAAAGATCATTTACTTATTTAATGTCAGTACTGGGGCTTGCACTTAGAACCTTGAGCTCTTACTTGGCTTTCTTCCCTCCTCAAAGCTGGCACTCTACCACTTGAGCCACACCTCCACTTGCAGGGTTTTTTTCAAAGGGTAGGAAAAAATAGAAAAAAAAAGTAAGAATAGTAAAAAAAAAAATTGATTGGGCTATTTTAGACATGTATTTAACAAGGCTATTTCTAAAATTTTACTTCTTTATGCTTTTGGAAAAACTGTGATCTGATAAAATAATATTGACCTTTTATCAATTTAAATAAAAAATAGAGAGCTGATTATACACATGGTTCTCATTTCTTTTTTGGATAGCCTCCTAAATTTCAATGCCCTTGAGCTACTAAAGCAAACATGCAGTTGTGGGTGCTTGTCTCCCTCTTCCCTTCCAGTCTGCAAGGGTAAATAACACTGGTCTACTCCAGAATGGCTCTGTACACTCCCTGTCTAATAATACCAGGGACTGTACAAGCAGTCTATTAATCATTTCCCTGAGGGTGGTGGCTGATTAGTCTGAGGAGAGGCCCTGGAGGTCCGAGGCATGAGCTAGGCCTCTGGGCTCAGCCTTTCTCCATACAAAGTTTGGTGTGGCTACTACAGATGTTGGGCTTTACCCTCCTCTGGGACTATTTAGCATCCATGTGCCACAGACGCTGTACATGGACCTCATGTATGCCAGCCTTACTAGTGTTGTTTATGGATGAGCACATGGGGCCACACAAGGGCGTAAGACTTGAACAGGTCTTTGTAGCTTCTGACTAGGAGAGTTGCAATTCTAACTGGGGATGATTGTTGAACACCAAAGTATGGGTTACCACAGCATTGCTAAGCATCTCCTCTGCTCTGAATTCTTTATTGTGAGCTTATTCAAAAGCTAACTTGGGATTTTCCATATGGTACTGATTCCGTTGAAAGATTGTCACCTTAACTCTACAACAAAAAACCTTGAGGGGGGGAGGGAAAGTGGGAGAAAAATGAGGGAGGGGGTAACAATGTTCAACAAGAAGTACTCATTACCTTGGGTATATAACTGTAACTCTAAAGTTGGGGTTTGAAATAAGGAAACTGTTCAGCCCAAAAGAGCAGAGGATTACTTTAGACTGAAGGCTCAAACTTAAGTTCCTCCTGAAAGCTGTGTGATTCCCGGGTCACTGGGATAACAGAAATTGTAAGAAGACCCGAAACAAGGCGAATAATTTCCCTTTGGACAAGTTTAATGACCAGGTGAGTCTAGAGATAGACACAGCAAGAGTCTTCTGCTTAAAGATCTCTCCCATTAGCCTATGTCTGAAATACCCCAACTGAAGCAAACTTCCTTATTCCATGATTGGAGTAAC